GCATTTTGCAACCTGCAAAATGCTTTCTGTGTGATTAGGGCCTGAACATAACCACGTGTTTGTTGTTGAAGGACAAAAATGTTGTGGTGTTGTACTGACGTGTGTTGTAGTGCTGAAGCTTTAAACGTTACTAGCACAATTTTTGCACCAATTTTGAATAATCATACAAGAAGAAATCCACTGCAGGTCTTATTTTCACCCACAGAAGCAGTAACCTCTCTTTGTCTCGTTGTCACTCTTTCTCTTGTTGCTGTTGCTATCACAACAGTTTCAGTTTAACTGCATAATGTGAATCAAAGTGAAGGAGAAATTGCTGAAATGCACTCTGTGAATGCAGAGGTGAGTGGCTGAGGGGAGGAACAAGGCTGAGGGAAAGCGCAGTGTGCTGTGCTTTTTTTTTGTTTGTTTTTTTCGGTTATGTACTTCAGAACATTGGATCTGAACAAGGTCAAGGTGCTGACTTTCAGCTTTAAATATGAGGGTACTCAGTAGGACTGAGACTGTTAAGATTTTTTCTTACCCCAGTAAGGCACTGCAGTTTGGCAGGCCCAGAGAATTGTGTGCATACATCATTCATGTTATTGTATAATTCTCTGGTTTATCAGTGTAGTGTATAATCTACACTGCAGACTACATTCTCTACTCAGTGACAGAGTTATGGGGCATCTGACTCATATGAATGGTCTAGTAGTGATGGGAGGTCTGGCTCTTTTCAATGATTCAGCTCTTTTGGCTCGGCTCCCTAAAAAGAGCCGGCTCTTACTGCTCCCAAATGGCTCCTCATTTAGTATCACTTGGAGCCTTCAATTTTAGCCTAATTTAGCAATTATGAATGGTTTGTGTGTTGGTAAGCAATTTTTCATTCAGTGTTTTCATAAAAGCCTCATTTTTATACTTTTTGTTCATTAAAAAAAATTCCACAATGCCCTCTCCTCCAGTTGCATGGATGGGTGGGCTGGGGTTGAAATTCAGCCTGGGAGCTTGATTTGGAGAGGCCTTTTTTCTGATCGCACGATGGACGCAAGTGGAACCGTAATTTTAACACAAATACTTTATTTGCAGTATAAAAACAATCTAATGATATTAAACACAACACACACAGATTAGTCAGTCAGTAGAGTGTATTGAATATAATATAATTCTATGTAAAGACCTATTTCCAACCCAGTCCTGCACACTGCACCTGTACCTGGCACTGTTTTCCTGCTCCACTTTCCTTCTTCTCCTCCTCCTCTTCCTCCTTCTTCTCCTCCACCTCCTCTTCCATCTCCTCCTCCTCCTTCTCCTGTCCATCCTCATCTGTCTCTTCCTCCTCCTCACTCCTATGACTGGCATTATCCTGTCCCTCTGCATCAACTCCACGACTGACACTGGCCTTGTCAGCTAATAATAACAATAACAGCAACAATGATAAACGTTATAGCAAAGAATTCAGTGTTAGAACACATATACAATATAAAAATCAACATAATAAAAGCGCCACACACACACACACACACACACACACACACACACACACACTGTAAATGAATTACTCACTTTAATGTATTTTTCTTGAGCTGGTAAAAATGGCTATATATCAATGTAGAAACAGAACAGGAAAACAGGATGTATAGCCTATATATTCCAATATTATCTTTTTAACTTTGAAAACACAAACTAGAGTTCTCAATGGGCCAGAAAATTACAACCAGACCCGACCCGGCCTGTGGGTTTTTAAGCCCAGACCCGAGGCAGCCGACACACCAGCATTAGCCTAATTGTCTGCCTGAAAAAAAGGAAGCCCGAGGCCCGACCTGGCCCGAGCCATTTGCATATTTTTTTGCCCGACCCTTCTGGGATGATAGGGCCATATAGGCAGTGCTTGCTAACCGCTCGCATCCCCCCTTAATATGCAAAATATTAGATTGACCCAGTCTGATGTTCCACTCTGTGCCACTGCCACATGCGGCTGCGAGGGCAGGCTGCTGCAGGCTGCTTATGGGGTAAAAAAAGGTTCCGACCACCGGCCGGTTCAGCCTGGAACAGACCGGCCATTCGGGAATACTCCCGAACCTCCCTATGGCCAGCCCACCCCTGGCGGTTCTAAGATGTCAGTGCAGGTTTGTTGTTGACCTGGTTCTGATGAATATTTTCATTTTACAAATTCAGCACTCAGCTTTGCAGTATCCAATATCATTGACGTGCCTGCATTTAGATCCAGCTCCCCCGTTTCTCTGTCACTCTGTGTGAACCTGGCCTGTACCACTACAATCACTGTCTTTGGAGCGTCCGTCCTCCTTCCTTCTTTCACATAATGGTATGATTCTAGACTGTCCTCGCATGTGATTGGCCCCATGGTGTGCCAATCAAAATAAAGTCCCGTCCCTGCCTGCATGGATTCTCAGCAGATTTGAGCAGGAGCGGCTGAAGATTTGGCTCTTCCCAGCGGGAGTCAGCTCTTCTCTTTTGCTACAAAGAATAGGCCCAAAGAGCCAGCTCATTCGCGAGCGACACATCACTACGGTCTAGGTTGACTGCGTTACAGCAGGCCTGTGTTACGTCTGGTGTATGAAATGTTCAGTCAGAAGCCCTCTCATTCCTTCTTCTTCTCCTTGCAGTCTTCTGACTCATAAAGCTGAGGTTTCATCCAGTAACTACTGTTAATAATAGTTGAACATTCCCAGCAGAAACACTGGTCTGTTTTTGCAGCATCACTAAAGGAGATTTTAGTATTTATGGGCCTGTACAAATCTTTAATCAACCAATCAATCAGTCTTTATTTATAGAGCACTTTTTATACAGGGATGTAGCACAAAGTGCTTTACATGGTTAAAAAGGAATGCAACCCCCCACCTACCCCCTAAGAATGACATTAAAACATTGGTAACGGACTAAAAATGACATGTAAACAGGTCCTCCGGCAGGCCATTCCACAAACATGGGCCATAATACTGAAAAGAAGCCTCACCGTGAGTATGTGTTCTAAATTTAGGAATAATTAAGAGGCCAGTGCAGGAGGACCTCAGGGTCTGTAGGGTCTGTAAGATAAAAAGGCCCTGCATATATATGACAGATCCAGGAGGAAGCAGTGAGGCAGGTGCTGCTCCTCCAAAGTTGACTGGCATTTCTCAATCACGCTGACCCCAGCATAGAAAATCTCGCAAAGAGTGGATATGCAATTCTACTCCTTATTTTTGGCATGTCACCGCAATCACCAGCTATTTAGCGGTTTTAATGATCGTGTCAGTGCGACCATGCTGGGTCGCCACAATGCCGGTGTTATGTCCCTACTGGTTTCCAATTTAACTGGTTTCCTTACCGAACAGCTGCAGATGTGCTTCGCCTCTGGAAGTGAGCACTACGTACCAGCGACATTAAAAAAAAGAAAGGAAAGAAAATATGATATACACAAATTTGCGTCAAGCTGGACTCGATTTCACGTCAACAAAAGACAATATAACACAAACCGCACGTCTACCTGTGTAAGCCACTGAGACTCACAGAGCGCACAGCTTTCCTCAGGTATTAGTAAATTACATCAGCATCATCCAGGTAACATTTTGATTTGGGCTGACCTGAGACAACTGGTTACCCTCGGCTTGCCTTGAAAATACCCAAACATATTTATCAGTGTTTCTTGTTCTTTTTCCACGAGTCTACAAACATATTCAGTGCCACATTACAGTCTGCACAACACTGCACACTGACAAAGCCTGTCATGTTTAAAAAGTGACGATCTAACTCGAAAAATGCTCTCAAAATACGCTAAATAATAATAAAAACCAAGCCACTGGATCATTACAGAGGTGAAAAGCAAGGACTTACATTTACTCACGTCACTGTAACTGAGTAGTTTTTTGTGTAGCCTACTTGCACTTTTTAAAATCTAATTTGAGTGTTACATCAGTAGCCTATGTTTTAATTTAAGTATTATGCTTCGCTGCATTTTAAATGACTTCTGTGACCGAGTAAAAAAAAAAAAAGTCGGCCGAAATTTTAAAAAAGCAAAAAGAATTGTGTAAGCGTTAACTACCATGACACAATAATAATAGTATTACACTCTATGACAACCTGGCAGCTAGCTCTGATGGAGACATATGAGCTCTAAGAACAAACTCACAATTATGGACGCACACTAAAAGAAATGTCGCCATGGTCCGAGAGAGGTGACGTCATGCTGTTATCTCTGTCTCTACAGGTACGCAGTGAGCGAGTTAGAACGTCACTTTTTAAACATGACAGGCTTTGTCAGTGTGCAGTGTTGTGCAGACTGTAATGTGGCACTGAATATGTTTGTAGACTCGTGGAAAAAGAACAAGAAACATTGATAAATATGTTTGGGTACTTTCAAGGCAAGCCGAGGGTAACCAGTTGTCTCAGGTCAGCCCAGATCAAAATGTTACCTGGATGCTGACGTAATTTACTAATACCTGAGGAAAGCTATGCGCTCTGTGAGTCTCAGTGGCTCACACAGGTAGACGTGCGGTTTGTGTTATATTGTCTTTTGTTGACGTGAAATCGAGTCCAGCTTGACGCAAATTTGTGTATATCATATTTTCTTTCCTTTCTTTTTTTAATGTCGCTGGTACGTAGTGCTCACTTACAGAAGCATATTCGCTGTGGTAGATGTGGGCTGCGACTTTAAAATCGCCAGTAATATGTTGTGTAGGCCTAGCTATGTTTGTGAATTTGTGACAAATCTGCTGACGGAGGCGAAGCACATCTGCAGCTGTTCGGTAAGGAAACCAGTTAAATTGGAAACCAGTAGGGACATAACACCGGCGTCGGGATAACGCCAACTTCCCTACAAAGCACGTCTGCTTGCCACTTCACCTGAGCGGACAGTATGGAGCACCATGATGTCTTAAACAACGGTCAAGCGCACGTTGTACCTCAACGTAAGAATTTATCTAAGGGTCGAAACAACGACGGACGCCATGCATTCAGGAAACTGCTAAGTTACCTGTTGGCAACAACTCTCCTACTTTCTGGAGATGTCCAGCTCAAACTGAACTCACCAGGGTGGAGGCGGCCGGTGACGTGCGGGCGGTCGGCGAGTTGGGTGGGTGCCAGGACGCGATGTTGTCTGCATCTAACTACTGTTGTCCGGGAATTGCCACGAGCCAGGTATCCACTTTGTTTTCTTCCTGTACTGAACTGGATATTGTAGATACAGCTATTGTACAACTACCAGCAACAGCCAATTAAATCAACGTGACGACACAACAGCCAATCAAAAGGAAGTATAAGCTGTTAAATTCTGCAATCATTAAGCGTAAAAGGTGGAACTTCTTCCAAACTGTCAATCAGGCACGAATGCTGTGGGATCCGAGAGCAAAACCCAGGGGATTACTCGGAGGGCCGGAGGGCACATAAACATTCGCAGTGTCACTGGGAAAAGTGAACAAATCCACCATCTTATTGCGGACTCAAACTTGGATTACCTGTGTCTGACAGAGACCTGGCTAAAACTCCCCAAGCGCAGCAGTAAGTGTTCCGGGATACAATATTTACAGGAGGGACAGACCTGAAGGAAAAGGAGGGGGGATAATGTTCTATGTTAAAGACAATATCAGCTGCAGTCAAATCGAGTGGCGCTGTGATAATGAACTTGAATGTATTGGACTTAATATTATATTATCTCCACAAATGTCCTTTGCCCTTGTTGGTATATATAGACCACCCTCCTCCAAAATTGCCTTTTTTGACCAACTAAAGAGTATATTAAAGGAATGTAATTTTGACAAAGAGGTAATTTTAATGGGGGATTTTAACATAAACTGGGAAGACAAATGTAATAGGAAAGCTCATAAAAAAAAAAGCAGGCAAATACCTTTGACCTGACACAGCTAATTAAAGGATAATGTCGGTATTTTTCAACCTGGGCTCTATATCCCCATGTGTATGTGTGTATATGATTCATAGGTACAACTCGTTTTAAAATTGGTTCAGTATTGAGGTAGGCGGATGCAGCCGGCAGCCGCGAAACGGTAGATATGGGGGCAAATGCGCCCTGTATAAGTTTGCACATTAAAAGTGCTTTTTTTCGCCACTGACCGCTTCAGATCGCCAGTGCTATCTCTGTAAATAGCATACTAAGCATTTCCCTTACCCTTCACTTCCTCTGGGCTGTGTGTAACGTCATCTCGCGAGAGCTTTGCTTGCAGTAAATGTGTGTCTCGGAGACAATTCTAGGTATCAGTATTACATGCATAAAGACATATTAATTATGCTTACTTGATGGATAGTTGATCATTTGGTCCCTGTGGTTTTGGCCGCCTCCTCCAATTTATTTTGGGTACATGAAAAAGGTATCCAGCGCTGCCCTGTTGATCAGAGGGGGGAAATCCTCTAACGTAGTTACACAGTGTTTGGTAGTTTCTGTATCATCCCAGGACACATCGAGACCATGAATATTGGGCAACAGGTCCCACTCGTTGCAACACAGACATTCTTCCTCTGTGGGCATGGAGACACAGCAACCACAGGAGCACCACCAGTCCTCAGGAATTTGCGTTTATGCAGCTGCTGCTTCACCCTCGTCTGCTCGTTGGCCCTCTCTGTCTATCCTCGTCTGCTCTTCAATTTGTAGGAGCTCCTCGTCCGTATACTCGGGCTCAAATAAGTAAGGGTGGCCATCGTAATAAAAGGGCTCATCTTCATTCTCGAAATCGGGTAAATATGCAGCCATGATACCGATGCAGTAAAACTCTCAACTGTACTCTGGGACAACCAACGCCACTCTGAGCGGCGCTCAGCATGGCTCCTCTGTTTTCTTCCGGCAACAAGCAAAGCTCTCGCAAGATGACGTCACACACAGCCCAGAGGAAGTGAAGGGTAAGGGAAATGCTTAGTATGTTACAGAGATAGCACTGGTGATCCGAAAAAAAAGCACTTTTAATGCGCAAACTTATACGGGACGCATTTGCCCCCATATCTACCATTTTAGCTCGTTTTGCGGCTGCCGGCTGCATCCGCCTCCTTCAATACTGAACCAATTTTAAAATGAGTTGTACCTATGAATCATACGCACACATACACATGGGGAAATAGGGCACAGGTTGAAAAATACCGAAGTTATCCTTTAAGGGACCAACAAGAATAACGCAATCTTCCAAAACACAGATTGACTTGATATTTAGCAATAAACCAGAGAGAATAGTCAAATCATTTAATATGATCACTGGGTTATCAGGTCATAATTTAACCCTTGTAGCTAGGAAACTGTCAAAATAACGCCTTAGTCGGGGCATTGGTAGCGTAGTGGATAGGGCCAGCGCCCCAAGTACAGAGGCGATGCCTCGCCGCAGCGGTCGCAGATTCGACTCCAGCTTGCAACCCTTTGCTGCATGTCAACCCCCACTCTCTCTCCCTCGCCCCATTTCAATCTGTCCTGTCCATGAAAGGCAAAAAGCCCCCCCAAAAAAATCTAAAATAACAAAAAAACAAGTCCTTGTGATGTAGGAAAGCCCAGTCAACTCAGAATACCTAAGGGAGAACAAAGTAACTTTGAAAATGCAATTAAAGGGATCAATTGGCATAATATTCTGTCTTACACTGATACTGACCGTGACTGCCAGGTCTTCTTGTCCACAATTCAATGTACAATGAATAATTTTTTAAGGAAAACTAAACCTGTCTGAAGACAAAAAAAAGACTCTTCCGTGGTTAAATGGTAACATACATAAATTAATGAGAGAACGCGATTCGGCACGAAAAACAGCTCTGAAATCAAAATTAATCACTGATAGATTAAAGTTTGTGGGACTGTGAAATAAGGCAACAAAAGAAATTAGGAAAGCAAAAGCAAGTTTTTTCATTAACATCACTGATCAAGCAAAGGGAAACTCAAAGTTAATCTGGGAGAACTTAAAGCAGCTGACAGGGAAGCGTCATACTGGCAATGACAAGTGCCTTGAAATCTGTGTGAATGGTAGTATCACACAGGATGAAGCTCAAATAGCAGCAACTTTTAACTCGTTTTTTGTAGAATCAGTACGGACATTGACACAGAGCACCTCCATCACTCCACCATGTGTCATGCCTGTAAATCATAATCAACCTGCATTTGTGATTAGGGAAATTTCTGAACCAAAAGTAAGAATGATTATAAACTCCCTAAAAAATTAACTCCTGTCTTCACTTAAACACCAAGAAAACTGTCTGTATGTTTTTTCACTAAACGGTCAACAGATAGTCCCACACCTTATGTTTATGTTGCAGGTGAAAAGATGACAGCAGTATTTGATTTTAAATATCTCGGAATAATAATTGATTCTAATCTCACATTTAAAAAACAAATTAAAACTATAACAAATGTCATAAAGTTCAATCTGTCAAATTTTCATCATATCAGGAACTGTCTAACTACTAATGCTGCAACATTATATTTCAATGCCATGATCATGTCATACTTGTCATATTGTCTGACTAGTTGGGCACAAGCCTCCTGTACAACACTCAGATCTGTACAGTCAATATATCATCAGGCTATCAAATTGCTTGACAAGAAGCCAAACAGATATCATCATTGTCACTGCCTCAGAAATCATAATTTACTGAGCTGGGATAACCTTGTCAAATTCACTGATGCTCCTCCCCCTCTTAGTGCTTTTATTAAGCAGAAGACAACTAATGATAGTCGCACTAGGTCTGCGACAAGAGGGGACTGCATAATACCCAGGAGGAGGACTGCTTTTGGACAGTCAACATTTTCAGTAAGGGCATCTCATACGTCTGCCAATGACTATCAGAAACAATAACACATATCATTCATTCAAAATTGAGTTAAAATCATGGTTAAAAGACAATCAGGTGTGTGACCATACTATATGACCTGCTCCAATAACACGAAGCGTGCTTTATTTGTTCAATGTTTTATGTGTTATTGTCTTAAGCGTTTTATGTGTTCTTATGAAGTGTATAGTGTTGTCCTTGTTTTTATGTGTCATGTAGTTCCTATCACACCTGCCCAGGGACTACAGTTGAAAATTAGCCAGTACGGCTAAACTGGCACATTTACAGAAATGTTTATTAATGTGCATTGTCCCTGTATCTCTGAACTGAATAAATAAATAAATAGATAAATAAAAATAAGACCATTAAGACATTTAAAAACCATTAAAAAAAACTCAATCCTGAAACACATGGGATGCCAATGCAGTGATTTTAAAACTGGTGTAATGTGGGCCTGCCTTCTGGTCTTTGTCAGTACATGTGCAGCTGAGTTCTATAAAAGTTGTAGGCCTGAGATAGTTTTTTTTGGGAAGACCAGAAAGCAGGGCATTACAGTAATCAATACGACTGGAGATAAAAGCATGCATCAGCGTCTGAGGTGACTGAAATTGGTGTCTGGAATTGGGCCTGACGGCTCCCGACCCCGTCCTCCTTGTTTCTTCTAAAATGTCTTTTGTTGTCAATTCAGTATCTTAGGTTCGGCTGGCAGGTACTTAGAAAAACACTGGAGATAGGCAGA